GTTATTGAACAGATTCAAGGCTGAGTTAGATAGATTTTGCTGGACAAAGGAGTCGAGGGTTATTGGGCAGGGGGTGCGAAGGCAGATTTAAAAGTGGAGCTGAGGTCACAATCAGATCAGCCATGATCTCACTGAATGGTGGAGCAGGGTCAAAGGGCTGAATGGCCTCACCTTGCTCCTTTGTTCTATCACTGCAATCTCATGTTAGCACCTATTCGGAGTTACAGCACATCCCATTGTACGCGCTGGGCAGTCTAGCCCATATTATTCCACAGTGCAGTGACAAGCTGTAAATAAGTCACAAGCAATAGGTCCTTCATACAATCAGTAAGGCAGCTAATGGTTACTCTAGCAGAGAAACACTAACTCTTTCACATTATTCTGGAGTCTCTAGAAAAAAAAACATCAATCTCCAAAGACTCTATTGCAAATTGTGATGCTTTTGGGGAGTTTTAAAAACATCTGGCATTGGGTATGAAAATGTTGCTTGGTTGACAGTCAGAAATCATCCAGTCAGATGAAGTATTTTTTCAGTTTGTCTGGGTAGGCAGAGAGTGACACAGCACCACCCACCCACTATGTCCACTAACCCTCATCACTCACCCATTACACCACCAACCCAACCCACTCATGAGACTCTCAACCTCACACACCCACCCTCCATACCCCCTAAACCCACCCACCAACTCTCCATATCCCTCAAACCCATCCATCTCTCCATTGCCCTCAACCCCATCCACCCACCCTCTGTACCCACCAAACCCACCCACTTTCCATATTCCTCAACCCCACCCACCCACTCTCCAGATCTCTCAAACCCACCCATCTCTCCATAGCCCTCAACCCCACCCACCCACCAAACCCCACACCATGCATTCACCCATCCACTATACCCTTCAACATCAACAATCCACAATGTCTCTCAACCCCAGATCCCTATGGTACATGGTATGGCCTGCATTCCCATCTGGTCTCTCAACCTCACCCACTCAGCTAATTCTTGGGAGATGTGTATGTGCAGTTAGGGCCACAATATCAGATTTGATTGTTGGGATTCAAATGGGGAAGGAGGTCATGTGAAGACTTCCTTTGTCACACACTTGGACCCCAGGAGTTTGAAAGTTGCCCATTAGCTGCCAGCACCAGTTAATGAAGCAGCATCAGCAAATGACTTAACGCTGACTAACGACTCATCTTCATCTTCATCTTTAGCTGCTAGTGAAGTTCCAGAAGACTGGAGGGTAGCTAATGTTGTTCCGTTGTTTAAGAAAGGTAGCAAAGACAAGCCAGGGAACTACAGGCCAGTGAGCCTCACTGGCATCAGTGGTAGAGAGGATACTGAGGGACAGGAGCAACCAATATTTGGATAGTCAAGGTCTGATTAGGGCTAGTCAGCCTGGATTTGTGCGCAGGAAATATAACACAGAACATAGAACAGTACAGCACAGTACAGGCCCTTCGGCCCATGATGTTGTGCCAACCTATTATCCTACTAAGATCAATCTACCCTGTATACCCTACATTTTACTATTCTCCATGTGCCTATCCAAGAGTCGCTTAAAAGTCTCTGAAGTATCTGACTCCGCTACCACTGCCGGCAGCGCATTCCACACGCCCAACACTCTCTGTGTAAAGAACCTACCTCTGACATCTCCTGTATACCTTCCTCCAATCACCTTAAAATTATGTCCCCTTGTAATAGTCATTTCCACCCTGGGAAAAAAGTCTCTGACTATCCACTCTATGCCTCTCATCATCCTGTACACCTCTATCAAGTCCCCTCTCCTCCTCCTTCGCTCCAATGAAAAAAGCCCTAGCTCCTTCAACCTTTCCTCATAAGACCTGCCCTCCAGTCCAGGCAGCATCCTGGTAAAATCATGTCTGACAAATCCTTTAGAGTTTTTCAAAGGGGTAACCAAGATGATGGATGAGGGTAGGGCAGTGGGTGTTGTCTATATGGATTTTAGTAAGGCCTTTAATAAGATCCCGCATGGCAGGCTAGTCATGAAGGTTAGGTCACATGGGATCCAGGGAGATCTAGCTAATTGGATTCAAAATTGGCTCAATGGTAGAAAGCAGAGGGTGATGGCTGAAGGTTGTTTCTAGGACTGGAGGCCTGTGACTATTGGTGTGCCACAGGGGTCGGTGCTGGGAACTTTATTATTTACATAAATGAACTGGATGTGAATGTACAAGGCATAATTAGTAAGTTTGCGGAAGATACAAAATTAGGAGGTATCGTTGATAGCGAGGAAGGTTATCAAAAATTACAAAGGGATCTTGATCAAATGGGGAAATGGGCTGAGGATTAGCAAATGCAATTCAAGATAAGTGTGAGGTGTTGCACTTTGGAAAGTCAAACCATGGTAGGACTTATATAATAAATGGTAAGGTCCTGAGGAGTGTTGTGGAACAGAGGGACCTAGGAGTTCAAGTATGTAATTCATTAAAAGTGGCGTCATAGATAGACAGGGCAGTGAAGAAGGCATTTAGCATGCTGGCCTTCATCAGTTGAGGCACTGAGTACAGAAGTTGGGACGTTATGTTACACCTGTATAAGTCGTTGGTGAGGCTGCACTTGGAGTATTGTGTACAGTTTTGCTCACCCTGTCATAGGAAAGACATAGTTAAAGTGTGCAAAGAAGAGGTTGTTGCCAGGACTAGTAGGCCTGAGTTATAGGGAGAGGTTGGACAGGATAGGATTTTATTTCTTGGAACGTGGGAGAGTGAGGGGTGACCTTATTAAGGTGTATAAAAATCATGAGGGGCACAGATAAGATGAATGCATATAGTCTTTTCCCCAGGGGTGGGGAATTGAAAACTAGAGGGCATGGGTTTAAGGTGAGAGGGGATAGATTTAAGGAGGACCTGAGAGGCAACTTCTCAGACAGTGGTGCGTATATGGAATGGGGTACCAGAAAAAGTGGTTGAGGCAGGTACAATAAAACATTTAAAAAATACATTTGGATTGGTACATGGATGGGTAGGGTTTAGAGGCATATGAACCAAATGCAAGCAATCGGAACTAGCTGAGTGGGCACCATGGTCAACATGGACCAGTTTGGGCCGAACAGCCTGTTTCCATTCTGTATTACTCTATGACTCAGTGTTAGCTAATGACTTAATGCTAACTAATGACTCAGTGGCAGCTAATGACTCAGCACCAACTAATGAGTTAATGCTGACTAATGACACAGCACTAACTAATGACTCAGCACCAGCCAGTGACTCAGCACCAGCCAGTGACTCAGCACCAGCTAATGACTCAGCGCCAGCAAATGTGTGTTCTTTGTGAACTTGCACATGACTCACCTTTAGACCCATGGGTCCTGGTGGGCCAATCTCACCTTCAGGTCCAGGCTCACCCTGTCAACACCAAAACATATGGTTAATGCATGTATCTATTTCGGCATTTTATAGGATTTTGATGTTGGGAGGAAAACAGTAATGAGATCAAATAAATTGATATTTTTTCCTTACCATTTGACCTGGAGGGCCAGTGGGACCAGTCATTCCTTGAGTCCCTCTTTCACCCTGTGAAAAGACAGCGCCAGTTAGTGAGCTCTGACAAACAGCCCTAACCAGGGGTTTGAAGACAACAGTAACTTATGGTTATAAGGCACATTTACCAGAGGGGAATACCTCCAGGAAGCTTACAAGAGCATTGTTAAATCCAATTTAATGATTAGCCACATAAGGGTGTTTTAGATCAAAGTGCTACACATTTGGTTGAAGAGGAGGTTTTTAGGGAAGTTTTCATCTGAAAGGAGCTGCAGGGGTCAATTGAATACATGATCACTAATGGTGGGCTGAAGCTGATACAACAGGGTAAGCAACAACTTGCCTTGGGGTTACTTCACAAATGTCCTGATCTGTGATTGGTTAGCACTCAACCAACTTGTCCAAGTGGTAAAGACTCAGCCTGGGAGATATCAGGAGGAAGTCGCAATGGCTTCTGTACTGATGTGATGTGTATTCTAGTGAGTAGGTGAAGTAATTACCATCAACATTCATGACTGCACACTGCAGGACAGCAAAGCTCCAATCTGATCCATTGATGGTGGGATCTGTCTATTCCATGTCACTTTCATCATTTGGCTGGAAGCTGGATCGTGCACTGGCACCGAGTGTTTTTGAAAATGAAGTGTACTGCCAAGCAACAAGTCTTGGACTGGTTTAAATATAGCTTATCACAGACCTGAGGAACGGTTGGGACAGAGACCACCAAAAAGCCTGTTAGCAAGCCCAATCCTTCTCTTTATCTTTAAGTAGAAAAGAGATAACATCTAGAGATTTTGTAAAAAGAAGAAAAACCTCTAATTCAAGCCAAGATCCAGGTCCAACTGACTGGCTACTGCACTGAGGATTGCCATGGTCAACATCAACATGATAGCATCACCGAATATTAAAGAAAAAAACTGTCAGGAAGTCACTAATCTCCTCCTTTGGACTGAACACTGATCCACAGGCTTTGTGTATTTTTGCCTATATATTTTCTACCCACAATAGTCTTTAAAAGACTGTTTATCTCGCCTGTCTTATCTGTCCTATTTGTGAGTGTACATACGTGTTTGGATTTCGAAGGATGCAGTTTAAATTTGCATATTAGGAAATAATAATCTGTTTCGCTACACGGAGGAGGATAGGTTGGTTGCAATAAATAAGTCGTTGCTTGACCGTTGATGCAACTTGGTGCGTTTCTTTGTCATGGTCAAACATATTTACACGGAGGGTGGTGGTTCGCATGTGGGATGAACTTCCTGAGGAAGTGGTGGATGTGGGTACAATTACAACATTTAAAAGACACTTGGATAAGTACATGCTAGGAAAGGTTTAGAGGGATATGGGCCAGGAGCATGCAGGTGGGACTAGTTTAGTTTGGGATTTTGTTTGGCATGGACTGGTTGGACCAAAGTGTCTGTTTCCGTGCTGTATGACTCTATAACTCTATTAACCATCCCAGAGATATTGGTTGTATTTCACATTTGTGATGATGCGTGGAATATCGGGGCTTGATTTCCAGCACAATATTCACACCAGGAAAATGGAAATCAAATCCAATAAATGGGAGGATATTGAGATGTGTAGAGGAAGTGAGATACATTAGAAGATGTATCTATAGGTCATTGAAGTGACAGGACAGGCAGTTAAAGTGGTAATGAAGGCATATGGGATGTCTTCTTCATTGGGTGAGATACTGAATACAAGAACATAGATGGAATGTTGGAACTATAAGACACTGGCTAAACTACAGGTGGAATTTTGTATACAATTCTCGTCAGCACATTACAGGGCTCTTGTGTCCTTACCTCTGACCTGGGTTCAAGTCCCTACTGCTCCAGAGGTATGTAATAGCATCTCTGATTGGGTTGATTGGAAAATAGATTTTTAATACATGCTTTAGACAGAGTACTGGGGAGATGTACAAGAATGTTTCCTTGTGATAAAACTGCATCTATGAGGAAAGATTGGATAGGCTATAGTCATTTTCCTCGGAAAAGATGTGCAGGTTAGGTGGATTGGCCATGCTAAATTGCCCTGTAGGGTGCAGAGTTGTGGCATACTCCTCAAAGGGTTGGTGCAGATTTAATGGGCCAAATGGCCTCTATCTGCACTGTAGGAATTCTTTGTTTCTATAATTCTAAGAGGGACTGAGGGGTGACATAACCGAGATTTAGAAAATTACGAAGGCCTGGAAGGATGGAGAGGAAAGAGCTGTTTCTTCTCGCTGCGAGGTCAATTACAAACAGCACAGAACAAAAGTAGAGGGAACATGAGGAAAAGCCATTCCCCCTGGAGCATGGAGGGTGTCTGGAATTCACTACTCACATTAGTGGCTGACGGGGAAGCACTCAACTCATTTAAAATGAACCTGAAGTGCTGTAAACTGCAAGACTACACACCAGTTACTGGAAACTACAGTTAGAGTATGCCACTTTTTTTTTTGTTTGACAGTCTGAATGACTTCTTTCTGAGCTGTAATCTTTCCATGGTTTTCTGGACTGTGTACCACTGTGTGGTCTTATCTGTCGACTGTCATGCAGGACTTAGCCAGGGCTGGTCATTGGTATGTGAAAGAGTGGGTACTGGTAGAAAACATAGAACTGTGTATGCGGGAGATCTGAAACAAAAACAGAAATTGCTGGCGAAACTCAGCGGGTCTGGCAGCATCTGTGGGAAGAAAGCAGAAGCTAACGTTTCAAGTCCAGTGACTATTCTGATGTTCTGGGTGGTACGGTGGCTTAATGGTTAGCCCTGTTTGCCTCACAGCATCGGGGACCTGGGTTCCATTCCAGCTTTGGGTGACTGTCTGTGTGGAGTTTGCACGTTCTCCCCGTGTCTGCAAGGGTTTCCTCCAGGTGCTCCGGTTTCCTCTCACGGTCCAAAGATGTGCAGGTTAGGCCAATTGGCCATGCTAAATTGGTCATAGGGTCCATCGGAGTCCAGGTGAGTTAGCAATGGTAAATGTGGAGATGGGGGGGATCTGAGTAGGATGCTCTTTGGAAGGTCGCCGCAGACTGCATGGGTTGAAAGGCCTCTATCTCCACTTTGGGGATTCTATGTCTGTTTTTGTCACAGTAGACACTGGTGGTAGGGTCTGGGCAAATAATGTGTTGGTGTTCTCTGTAAACTGCAGGCACGCCCCAGTCTGCTCATTTCCAGGTTAAACGACAATTCTGAAATTCATCTTAAGGAGTTACTTGACTAGTTAAATAGAAACTAGTAATAAAAAGCAAAGGTGGAAGCCAATTCGACACAAAACATTCCCCTGAGAAGCTCAAGCAGAAAACTGAGACACGTCTGGAAATAACTAGAAGTTCGAATGAAACTAATGACAAAACTGAAAAATAAAGACAAACATAACAAAAGACGTGCGATAAAATTAAGAGCCAGATTTCTCTGAAGTATGATGAAGCCACTGTTTAGAGGAATTATTACCTTAGAACCAGCAGCTCCCTTCTGACCAGGTTGTCCAGGTAAACCCTGTCAAAGGGAAAGTAATCTGTTAGTTTACTGCATTAGTTTAGAGCACAATGAACTGAGGGTTATTCAATAAAAAAATTACACATTTTAATCACACTGGGATACACTTCCTGAAGTTGCTGATTACCACTGGGATGCAATTCTTGAAAGTACTGAAATTGACAGAACACAGAACAGTACAGCACAGGAACGTGCCCTTCGGCTCACGTTGTGCTGAACGTGACGCCGAATGAAACTAATCCCTTTTGCCTGCCCTTAGTCCATATCGGTTCCTTGCATGTTTATGTAATTACCTAGAAGTCCTTTAAGTACCATTATCGTATCTACCTCAACCACCACTACTGGCAGTGCATTCCAGACTCTGACCACTCTGTGTAAAAAAACTCGACCCTCACGTTTCCTTTTAACTCTCCTCCCTCCCACCTTAAATGCATGCCCTCTAGTATTAGACATTTCAACTCTGAGGAAAAGATTCTGACTGTCAACACTATCTATGCATCTCATTATTTTACAGACTTCTATGAAGTCTCCCCTCACCATGCACCACTCAACAGAAAACAATCTGAGACAGTAGGAACTGCAGATGCTGGAGAATCTGAGATAACAAGGTGTAGAGCTGGATGAACACAGCAGGCCAAGCAGCATCACAGGAGCAGGAAAGCTGACGTTTCGGGCTTAGACCCTTCTTCAGAAATGGGAGAGGGGAAGGGGGTTCTGAAATAAATAGGGAGAGGGGGGAGGCGGATAGAAGATGGATAGAGGAGAAGATAGGTGGAGAGGAGACAGACAGGTCAAAGAGGCTGGGATGGAGCCAGTAAAGGTGAGTGTAGGTGGGGAGTTAGGGAGGGGATAGGTCAGTCCAAGGAGGACGGACAGGTCAAGGGGGCTGGATGAGGCTAGTAGGTAGGAGATGGGGGTGGGGGTTGGGGTGGGAGGAGGGGATAGGTGGGAGGAAGGACAGGTTAGGGAGGCGGGGACAAGCTGGGCTGGTTTTGGGATGTGGTCGGGGGAGAGGAGATTTTGAAGCTTGTGAAGTCCACATTGATACCATTGGGCTGCAGGGTTCCCAAGCGGAATATGAGGTGCTGTTCCTGAAACCTTCGGGTGGCATCGTTGTGGCACTGCAGGAGGCCGTGGATGGACATGTCGTCTGCGGAATGGGAGGGGGAGTTGAAATGGTTCGCGACTGGGAGGTGCAGTTGTTTATGCGAACCGAGCGTAGGTGTTCCGCAAAGCGGTCACCAAGCTTCCGCTTGGTCTCCCCAATGAAGAGGAGGCCACATCGGGTACAGCGGATGCAGTATACCACATTAGCAGATGTGCAGGTGAACATCTGCTTGATGTGGAAAGTCTTCTTGGGGCCTGGGATGAAGGTGAGGGGGGAGGTGTAGGGGCAGGTGTAGCACTTCCTGCGGTTGCAGGGAAAAGTGCTGGGTGTGGTGGGGCTGGAGGGGAGTGTTTTGCGGACAAGGAAGTCCCGGAAAGAGTAGTCCCTCCGGAAAGCAGGTAAGGGTGGGGAGGGAAAAATGTCTTGGGTGGTGGGGTCGGATTGCAGATGGCGAAAGTGTCAGAGGATGATGCGTTGAATCCGGAGGTTGGTGGGGTGGTATGTGAGGACGAGGGGGATTCTGTTTTGGTTGTTATTGCGGGGAGGGGGTGTGAGGGATGAGTTGTGGGAAATGCGGGAGACACGGTCGAGGGCATTCTCAACCACTGAGGGGGGGAAGTTGCGGTCCTTGAAAAACGAAGACATCTGAGATGTTCGGGAGTGGAATGCCTCATCCTGGGAGCAGATGCGGTGGAGGCGAAGGAATTGGGAATAGGGGATGGCATTTTTGCAGGAAGGTGGATGGGAGGAGGTGTATTCTCGGTAGCTGTGGGAGTCGGTGGGCTTGAAATGGATATCGGTTTCCAGGTGGTTACCAGAGATGGAAACAGAGAGGTCCAGGAAGGAGACAGAGGTATCAGAGATGGTCCAGGTGAACTTAAGGTTGGGGTGGAAGGTGTTAGTGAAGTGGATGAACTGTTCGAGCTCCTCGTGGGAGCATGAGGCAGCGCCGATACAGTCATCAATGTAACGGAGGAAGAGGTGGGGTTTAGGGCCAGTGTAGCTAAGGAAGAGGGATTGTTCCATGTAACCTACAAAGAGGCAGGCATAGCTTGGGCCCATGCCACCCCCTTTGTCTGTAGGAAGTGGGAGGAATTGAAAGAGAAGTTGGGTGAGGACGAGTTCGGCTAACCATTCCTCAGACGACATATCCATCCTGGGCCTCCTGCAGTGCCACAATGATGCCACCTGAAGGTTGCAGGAACAGCAACTCATATTCCGCTTGGGAACCCTGCAGCCCAATGGTATCAATGTGGACTTCACAAGCTTCAAAATCTCCCCTCCCCCTACCGCATCCCAAAACCAGCCCAGCTTGTCCCTGCCTCCCTAACCTGTCCTTCCTCCCACCTATCCCCTCCTCCCACCTCAAGCCCCACCCCCATCTCCTACCTACTGGCCTCATCCCGCCCCCTTGACCTGTCTGCCCTCCCTGGACTGACCTACCCCTCCCTAACTCCCCACCTACACTCACCTTTACTGGCTCCATCCCCGCCTCTTTGACCTGTCTGTCTCCTCTCCACCTATCTTCTCCTCTATCTATCTTCTATCCGCCTCCCCCTCTCTCCCTACTTATTTCAGAACCCCCTTCCCCTCCCCCATTTCTGAAGAAGGATCTAGGCCCAACACGTCAGCTTTCCTGCTCCTCTGATGCTGCTTGATCTGCTGCGTTCACCCAGTTCTACACTTTGTTATCTCAGAAAACAATCTGAGTTTTTTCTAGCCTCTCCTTATCGCTCATACCCCTTAATCCAGGCAGCATCCTGGTAAACCTCTTCTGCATCCTCTCCAAAGCCTCCACATCCTTCCTGTAATGTGGTGACCAGAACTGATTGCAGTACTCTAAGTGCAGCCTAATCAAAGTCTTATAAAGCTGCAACATCACTTCCTGACTCCTGTACTCAATTCCTCAACCAATAAAGGGAAGCATGCCATATGCCTTCTTCACCATCCTATCTACTTGCATGACCACTTTCAGGGAGCTATGGACTTGAATCCCAAGATCCTGCCATTAACTGTATACTTTTCCTTAACATTTCATCTCCCAAAGTGCAGCATCTCACACTTACCCGAATTAAACTCCATCTGCCATTTCTCCGCCCATATCTGTAACTGATCTCTATCCTGCTGTATCCTTTGACAACCTTCTACACTATCCACAATTCCACTGATCTTTGCATCATCAGCAAAATTACTAACCCATCCATCTACATTTACATTTAAGTCATTTATATATATCATAAACAGCAGAGGTCCCAGCACGTATCCCTGTGAAACACCACTAATCACAGATCTCCAGCCTGAAAAACATCCTTCCACCACTACCCTCTGCCTTCTAAGGGCAAGCCAATTCTGAATCCAAGTGGCCAAGTCACCATGAATCCCATTTATCTTAATCTTCTGGATGAGCCTACCATGAGGGACCTTGTCGAAAGCCTGACTAAAATCTACGTAGACAACATCCACTGCTCTCCCCTCATCGATCACCTTTGTCATCTCATCGAAAAATTAAATCAAGTTAGTAAGACATGACCTGTCCTGCACAAATCCATGCTGACAGGCCCTAATTAAGCCATACTTTTCCAAATGTGCATAAACACTAGCCCTAAGAATTCTCTCCACTGGCTTCCCAACAACCGATGTTAGACTCACTGGTTTATAGTTTCCTGGATTATCCCGATTTCTCCTCCTGAATAGAGGAACAACATTAACTACTTGCCAGTCCTTTGGGACCTCTCCTGTGGCAGAGGGCTACAAAGATCTTGGTCAAGGCCCCAGCAATCGCCTCTCTTGCCTCTCTCAGTAACCTGGGGTAGATATGATCAGGCCCTGGGGAGTTATCCACCTTAATGCTCTTCAAGAGATCCAACACCATGTCTTTCTTGATCTCAAAATACCTGAGCATATTAGCATGCTCCATACAAATCTCACTATCCTTCATATCCTTCTCCTGGGTGAATACTGATGCAAAGTACTCATTTAGGATCTCACCCACATTCTCTGCCTCCAAGCACAAGCTCCTTCCTTTATCCTTGAGTCGTTCTACCTTCTCCCTACTTATCCTCTTGTTTTTAATGTATCTATAGAATGCCTTGGGATTCTCTCTAGCCATACCTGCCAAGGTTGTTTCATGGCCCCTTCTTGCTCTCCTAATTCCCTGCTTGAGTACTTTCCTGCTTTCCTTATATTCCTCACAGGCCCTGTCTGATTTTAGCTTCCTAAACTTTACATATTCTTCCTCAGAGTTAATACAATGTGGAGCTGGAGGAACACAGCAGGCCAGGCAGCATCAGAGGAGCAGGAAAGTTGACATTTCGGGTCGGGAGCTTCTTCAGAAGAGTCCCAACCCGAAATGTCAACTTTCCTTCTCGTCTGATGCCGCCTGACCTGCTGTGTTCCTCCAGCTCTACACTGTATTATCTCTGACTCCAGCATCGGCTGTTCTTACTATCTTTGACATATTCTTCTTTCTCCCTTTTGACTAAATTCACAACCCCCCTCATTATCCAAGGGTCCCTTACCTTGTCCTTCCTCCTATCCTCAGTTGGGGGCAGTTCCAGAAGTGCTCATTCTCACTGTGAAACAAATGCTGAAGGTGCCACCTCTCACTGTGTTAATATGCTGACACTTACTGGAATAAATTTCTGGAATGTGCTGACTCTCACAAGGATACAATTCCTGAACATGCCCCGATAGTTCTGACTCTTGAAGGGATACACTTCCTGAACGTGCTGACTCTCTAAGGTACAGTTCCTGATGGTGTTGGCTCTGATTGGGAGACGGTTCCTGATGGCTTGGGCTATCATATGGATACAGTTCCTGAAGGTGCTGACTCTCACTGGGATACAGTTCCTGAGGGGGCTGACTCTCACTGGGATACATTTTCTGAAGCTGCTGACTCTCACTGGGATACAGTCCCTGAGGGGGCTGACTCTCACCGGGGGACAGTCCCTGAGGGGGCTGATTCTCATTGGGATACAGTCCCTGAGGGGGCTGACTCTCTCTGGGACACAGTCCCTGAGGGGGCTGACTCTCTCTGGGACACAGTCCCTGAGGGGGCTGACTCTCTCTGGGACACAGTCCCTGAGGGGGCTGACTCTCTCTGGGACACAGTCCCTGAGGGGGCTGACTCTCTCTGGGACACAGTCCCTGAGGGGGCTGACTCTCTCTGGGACACAGTCCCTGAGGGGGCTGACTCTCACTGGGACACAGTCCCTGAGGGGGCTGACTCTCACTGGGACACAGTCC